TCCCCCCTGCAACTGCTTCTTAAAAATAGGCTAACCTCTTCTCAAATACCTCATGAGCATTCCCTATCTGAAGGTTGGTCGGACAGGGTTTCTGAACCCACACAGCCAATCTCTAAAACAATTCTTTGTAAATGATCATAATTTATACACCATGTTAAAGAGCAAATGCTATAAAATGTTCATTCTTGGGGGAAGGCCCAGGTATCCCAGCACCAGGAAGGGAACTTGGGAGGATTGCTGCTGCAGAACACAGTTACCTCCCTGCACTGAGGGTCAAGACCCAGCTGCAGGTTGTGGGAGAGATTCAAGGTGCGGGGCTTGGGGAGTTGACAGTGGGGCTGCACCTTGGAGCTATTTTCTGGTTTGCTGGGAGAAATGGGCTGTCACTGGCTGAGGTGAGCTGCTGAATAATAAAAGAAGCCGTGAGAATGGCCTCCTTTCCCCTATAACTACCATGTTGAATATTCTGAACCCCAAGCTAATAATAGTAATCACTATCATTTCCCAAGGGTCTGTTATGAACTGGGTATTTTATGGACACCATCACCGCAGTTTCTCATAACCATCTTGCATGCTCAGAATTACTATCCACCAGGAAGCCAGCATGCAAATCTAATTCTTCAGCTGTGAGAAGACTTTATTCTTTTCTCATCACCTTTTAAAAAGAAGATAGTAGGCCCGGTCAGTGTGGTTCAGTGGTTGAGCGTGGACCTATGAACCAAGCGGTTGGGGTTCGATTCCAGGTCAGGGTACATGCCTGATTATGGGCTCGATCCCCCGTGTGGGTTATGCAGGAGGCAGACAATTAATGATTCTCTCTCATCATTGATGTTTCTATCTCTCTTTCCCTCTCCCTTCATCTCTGAAATCAATAAAAAAATATATATATATTATTTTTTTTTAAAAAAAGAAGATACTAGATACAGAGCAATTACCTACTGCGTGAAGGTGCAGCTTCCCTGTGGTGACATCAACTCCTGCTCTGCACCACTGGGTGGCCCTGCTCCTCATCCTTCCCTGTCATGCCCTCCTCACCTCACCTCTTCCCCACCCAGCCATCCCATTCCTGCCTATCACTGAAGCCCAGCCACCTTCTGCCTCCTCCAAGAGGCCCTCTGGACTTCTCTAGCCATCAGGGTCCTTCTCTTCCTTTGAAGCCCAAACATACCTCTCAGCCCTGTCTGTGATTTTTCCTGTTGCCCTTGGTACATCAGTTATGTCTCCCAATTAGACTATAACAGGGGTCCTCAAACTTTTTAAACAGGGGGCCAGTTCACTGTCCCTCAGACCGTTGGAGGGCCGGACTATAGTTTAAAAAAAAACTATGAACAAATTCCTATGCACACTGCACATATTTTATTTTGAAGTAAAAAAACAAATGTTTTCGGCGGGCCGCATGTGGCCCACGGGCCGTAGTTTGAGGACCCCTGGACTATAAAATCCCCAAGGCACAGCCATGTTTTATTTACCCTGTTCCTCTGCTGAACAGCTGAAGGAGGCAGCTATAGAGAGTGGAAAGACCACTGGCCTTGAAGCCAGAACAACCTGAGCTGGAATCCCTGCTGTACCACCTGGGGCAGAATGACCCTAAGCAAGTGACTCCACCTCGCTGAGTCTCACTTACTCTTGTTTCCCAATGGTTAGAGCAGTGGTCTTATAAATCAGGTCCTGAAAGAAATCAGGAAGTCTCTGTGGTTATCTCTATGTAGCATCATGGTTAAGGGCATGGAGTTCACAGACAGTCAAAGTCTCCTAATTCAACGTCTGCTACTCACAAGGTCATTAACCCAGACTTTGCCTCAGTTTTCTCATGAGTAAAATAAAAGTAATAACACTTATCTCATTGGATTTTTGTAAGAATCAAATGAGATATTTTATGTAATACCTTTAGAACAATTCCTGACACATAGGCAATGCTATGTAATGATTTGCCATTATTATATTCCTAGAGGCCCGGTGCACAACAATTTGTGCACTCAGGGGGTTCCCTCAGCCTGGCCTGTGCCCTCTCGCAGTCTGGGACCCCTTGAGGGATGACTACCTGCTGGCTTAGGCCTGCTCCCCGGGGCATTGGGCCTAAGCTGGCAGTCAGACATCCCTCTGGCAGCCCGGGAGCTCTCGAGGGATGTCCACTTGCCAGCGGAGAGCAGGCCCAAGCTGCCGTCGGACATCCTTAGCGCTGCTGAGGAGACGGGAGAGGCTCCCACCACCACCGCTGCACTGGCAGCCACCAGCCTTTTATTATTATAGATTATTGTTATAGGAAATTATTGTTATAGAAAAGGCCATATCTGCTGTAAATGTTACTGTAAGGATGAAATGAGATCATATTAAAGAGCCTGGCACATCAGGCCCTCAATAAGGGGTTCTGCCCTTCCTTCATCTTCTTATTGTGTTTGTTGTACTAGGCAGGTGATTGATGCTCTGAAAGATCCTTGTGAACCAATTGATACCTTCTCACGGGCTTAAGAGAATAAGCTATGCCCACATGCCCTATCTCTTAAATAACTAATTTTATTGTGTTCCTTATTTGCCAGACACTGGGCTAAACACTTCACGTATGTTATTTTTCTTAATTATCACCATTTGTGTGGTTGTTTATGCCCATTGTTATGGATGGGAACACTGAGGGAGGCCCAGAGAGGTTAATCAACTAGGTCACCAGCTATTATTACATGGTAGAGATAGGAAACCATGGATAGCTACCTGTCTTTAACACCTGTGCTATTGATCACTGCACAAACCAGCCTCTGCCCCAAATCCCCTAAATAAAATGGGACTCAGAGGCCCCAAGATATCATTTAACTTATCATTTTATGAGTACCTTTCAGTGATAACTATTGCACTGGGGACTACCAGATGTCAAGCCAGACGCAGGCCTTTAGCCATAATGGAGAGGCTTTCCCACATGGTGAACAGGCACCGTATCAGGCAGACTGGGCAGTAGCTGGGTCCAAAGAAGAGAAAATCCCTTCTGCCAAGGTCATTGTTGCCAGGGTGGTGCAGTGAGAACCAGGATCTTCCACTTGCCACAGAGAAGAGCCCCCAGGAATCCCAGTCATGCAAGGAAAGGGCAGGCTGGTAAAAGCAGGATAGCCTACTGGGAAGTGGCCAATGTCCTCAGCAGTCCATCTAAACCTTCCTCATGGTCAGTGAACAAGATCCCACCGAGGGAAGGCAAGGGGGAATGGGGCATTCTGGAAATTGTGCACCAAAGAGGAGGGAGGGAAGCAAAACCTTGAGGGATGAGACCGTGCCAGCTGCAGAACCTTTTTTCAGGAAAGAGGGTGATGAATCACCTTTCCAGAGCCTCCCAGTGCAAGTCCTCCAACAGTGTTCAACAAAGGGTCAAATGGGTGAAGCAGAACAGCTGCCTGGGCGTGAACAATCAACCCCAGCATCTACTTTCCCTCTCATTCCTCAGGTCCCATCATCAGGCTGGATGTGTCACATCCCAGAGTTACTGCTCTGGCCTCCCACGTACAGCCCACTACACATCACAAGCCCCACCTCCAAGGATGAAGGGGTGGGGGGGTGGAGGGGGGGGACTCTGACAGAATGTGCCCATGAGTCCATTCCCATTTCAGAGCTCGCTGGACAAATCTCGTGGCCAACAACAGAAAAACAGAGCAGAACACAAAACCTGAGCAGAGACAGGCTGCAGGAGCACTGGGGGAAATCTTGCCTTCCTCCCACACGCCATCACTCAAACCTGTCAGCTTCCAAAAACGTTTAGCAAGTGCAGCAGCAAGGGTCATGCTTATCAGCCTGGTGTGGGAGCTTAATCTGCTTTGAGGGCCTTCTCCAGCCCAGAGCTCCAAAAGTCTGCTTACAATTAGCTTCCAGCTCCAGTTCCATCAGAAAAGCTAGGAATGTGTTGAGTTCTAGCCTCTGATCAGAGAAAGCTCAGGAGAAGGTGGAGACAGTGTCAGCAGAGACTTGAGTGCCAATAAGGTCAGCTGGTCTGTTGCCACTTCCCTGACACCAGCCCCACACTGCCTCCCCCTCTGGCTTCCTGTCTCTCCTGACCAGGACAGTCATATCCGTCAAGTAGGCCTGTCCCCAAAAGTCCCTGATGACTGACTGCCAAGAAAATACAGCGTGCCCCTGCTCCCTCCTACCAGAAGAGGGAAGAAAAAACAGCAGGGAGGGCTGAAGGCCAAGAGAACCGGATTGGCCCCTGCTGATTTCCTTAAAAGAGATTGAATGGCCAGGGCCTGTCACCCAGCCGAATTGGGTGATGTGAGCTCAGTCTGGAAAGGTAGAAGTCATCACTTCTCCTCAAGCCACCCCTCACCCCTACCCCCAGTTACCCGGGCTACCAGCACTAGGATCAAGTACCCAGGAAGGAGGGGCTTAGCTTTGGGCCGCCATTCTGAGCAGCCACCCCCACCTCCACTGCCACAGCCAGCCAAGATGCTACGAGTCTCCAGCTGGCTGCCTCAGCCCCGGCACCAGCCACTCCTACTGCAATCCCAGCACCAAGCTCGGACTCCTGTCAGTCCAAAAGATGCAGCAGGGCGGGTCATCTTCAAGACCAGGGAACAGGTTCACTGCCACACTCAGGCTTTGCAACTACGGGGCCATGGAGCCCAGCGAGGCCTCTGGTCATTCCTTGTCAGTGATAGAAATCTCTACAAAACTGACAGAGACGATGCTGCTTTTGAGGGCCAAGCCCTCAACATGCAGGACCTGACATTTCCAGGGCTGCATAGGTTTTTTAAAGAACACCTGGCCGGGCCTCCCCGCCCCTACCCCACCCCTGGCAAAGGAAACCTCAGGAGGGCCCGCCTGGTCTGGTATAAATCCTTAAGGCAAACCCGGGCCACACCCACCAGCCAGCCCACTCTTCTCCCGCATCCCCCAACCTGCCGGCCTTAATGGAATGGTTCCCTTCTCCGCCCACAGAGTAGCCCTTTCCCCCATCCAGCCATGCCAACCCCCCAAAAAAGTATCCACCCACCCACCCCCGAACATTGCCCCGGCACACAGCCTCTCACCTGGGTATCAAACCCGTTCTCCACCGAGCCGCTCTTCCGCAGCGGCAGCCCCTCCCCCGCCAGCTCCTGCAGCCCGTGCGCTTTCAGCGGGATCTGGCTGGGAAAGACGGTCTTGCTCACCTCCACCTTGCTTCCCAACTTGAGGTAGCAGGGCTGGGGGCCGGCCCGGGCCGGGGGCACGTGCAGAATGGGCGCGGCGCTGTGCACGGGTTTGGGCAGTCCCGACTTCATTTTGGAGGCGACCAGAATGGCCGGCATCTTCTCCCGGGGCTTCGGTTTTCCCAGCACGTCCCTGGCAGCGGCAGCGGAGGCAACCGCTAAAGGCAGCGCGGGCAGCAGAGCAGGCGCCGGGCTCGGCCCGCGAGGCGCCCACCACCAGTGGAAAAGGAAAAAAAAAAAAAAAAAGCCGAGGTCGGGGAGCTCGGAGCAACCCGGCGAGCGCACCTTCGGGGTGCGGGAATGCTGCAGAGGATGGGTCGAGGCGCTCAACTGGTCCGGCTGGATGGATGCTGGATGGATGCTGCAGTCGGGTCCTAACGCCCCTTCGGGGTGGCCTATTCAAGAGCTCTGGGAGGTCAGGGACTGTTGCCTCTTGCGATTCTTCTCCTGGGAACCCGAGGCTTGGAATCCCATATTAATTTGTCACTGCATCTCCGAAGTGAGGAGGCCCCTTTGGAAGAGAAGCAGCGGGCACGCACGCCTCCGCTCCGGGAGGCTGCGGGTGTGAGCGGCGAGGGAAGGCGCGAATCGCGGAGGAAGGAGAGGGAGGGTGCACGGAGCTCAAGGAGTCTCAAGACCACCGAGAGGAAGCTGCCTCCCTGATGGCGAGCACCGCAGTGTCCCCCGCGACGCAGAGGCGCGGCGAGAGCCCCCGAAAGGTCTCTGTAGGCGTGACAGTCACCACTGCCCCGAAGCCCCCCGGACAGATAGCACCTGAACGCCTGCGGGTCTGCACATGCTCCGTGAGCTATAGTGCAGCAAGACTATGGCCGTGGGGCGCGGGCACCGGGACGCGCGGCTGGGCAGGGCTGCGTTTGCGAGCGGCTGCCGCAGTTCCCGGGAACGCTGCGCTGGCTGCGGGGCTCCGCGCGGGGGAAGACAGGCTGCTTCCCCGCGGCTGCGGCGCGGGCTGACAGCCGGGGCCGCCCCGACGCGCCCATTGGTCCGAGGCGAGCCAATCAGCGGCCGCGGCTCTCACTGCAAAGGGGGCGTGGCCTCAACTCCGGGGCCGCGGCCGAAACTCTGGGGCGCGCTTGGCCGCAAGTACAAAGCGGGCCGCGGCCGCTCTGCGGCACTGCGCTGGCGGCGCGCCTCCCGCGGGCCCACACCCCGCGCCCTGAAACCTATTTTTGAAAAATGCCCTTTCGAACGCAAACGCCCGCCTCCGTCCCCTCCGGCGGGCACGGCTCGGGGGAAGTTTTGTTTCCTTTTTCAAATTATTCTGGCCACCTTAACGGTTTAAGTCTTCCGGAGTCGCGCCCGAGGCCCCGCGGCCCCCCAGCTGGCTGCTCCCCGTCTCCCGCGTTAACGACGAGCCAACCATTTCTCTTCTTTTCTGCCAGGCGGCCAGGGGGTGCCTCCCTATAGCTTCCTCTTCAGTTTTCAAAGGCTGCACATTTCACTTAACTATTTGAAGTATTTATGGGCAAATACAATACCCAGGGAAGCTTCCCGCCCCGAAAGAGCTCCTCCTTGCAAGCTGCCGGGACTCTGTAATTAGTGTCCGGAGGAAGCCAGCGAGGCTCCATGGCCCTGGCTGGCTCAGGCTGATCCCTGCTGCACTTCATGCAGGAGCCCCTCCCTGTCCGTGCCTTGGACACACTGGCCCCACAGGTTCCTCGACTTTCATTCCCCCAGGATTTCTTCCCTCCTCTCAGTTGCAGTTTGGGTTCTTCGCTGACTCAAAGGATGTGAGCATTGAAAGGGATGATCCAGGCAGCCAGAACCCTCGCGGTTCATGGCTGAGGAGCGCTGCCTGGATTTAAATTGGACACATTCCTCAATCTTACATGCATCCTTAGAAAGCTGCGGTTTTCACTTGGAGTGAGGGGGAGGTTTGACTGCATTTATATAATGCGCTGCTGTTTGGATTAAATGAGATAGTGCATGACAGTCCTTGAGCACAAGTACCTGGCGATGTCAAGGGCTAATAGAAGTTGAGTATTCTTATTCTTATTAATGATTGCTACTCACCCCTCCCCCAGTCACCTATGCATATAAGCTGCTTGTCTTTCTTCTCTGTCTCCGAGATACATTTTCTCTGTATGCCCACCCTGTAGGCTGATTTACAATACTGATGGCATTGATTTATCATTTTCCAGACCAGAGGAAACAAGTTTAAACAAAAGAAAAATAAAACTCAAAATAGCACCAAGAAATGAGAAGGTGCTTTCTTATCCTGGTCTGTTCCCTCTCTCACCTTATGTTCCACCTATTCTGTATTATAAATAGCAACTTCTGGTCTAGCTAGGCCCGTGGTCGGCAAACTGCGGCTCGCGAGCCACATGCGGCTCTTTGGCCCCTTGACTGTGGCTCTTCCTAAGCCTTAGGAGTACCCTAATTAAGTTAATAACAATGTACCTACCTATGTAGTTTAAGTTTAAAAAATTTGGCTCTCAAAAGAAATTTCAATCGTTGTACTGTTGATATTTGGCTCTGTTGACTAATGAGTTTGCCAACCACTGATAGGCTGAAATGCACACAGTCTCATATATAATGTCAGGTATCCTCCCTCCCTCTGAAATTAAATCACACATGGTCTGTGCCATTTACTGAGCACTCTGCCTTTTGCCATCTGATGCCACCTTGTTATCGATCATTTCATGTGTTTATTTTCTTCTTAAAGAGAGACTGGAAGTTAGGAACTGCATTTAAACTATTATTAGGTTTTCTTGGCATCAAGTATCATGCTGTAGACAGAAGTCAATGAAATGATCAAATGAATGAATGCTAGCAGCAATTCTCCAGGAGGAGAGCCTTTTAGATTCCTACCCATAATTCTGGTTTTGACCGTGTACCAAGAGTTATGGAAAGATACCACAGTTTTCGACTTTAAAGATCCTGGAGATATTCCAAAGTATTTCCATGGCCCTAATGCTGTGGTTCTCAAAGTATGGTCCCCAGACCAGCAGCAGCCCCTGGACACTGGTTGGAAAACCCCCATCCCACTATGCTGGACACCTGAAACTACTATAAAATTATATAGAATGTCCAGTGTAATTGACAAAGTAAAAATAATGGTTTAAAAAAAAAAAAAAAAACCACCCCAGACCTACTGAACCAAAAAGCTCAGGAAGTGGACCCAGCAATCTGTTTAACAAGTGTTTAACCCAGTGATTTTGATGCATTCTAATGCCTGAGGACTTCCTCCAGCCTCAATGAATACATCGTGCATTCAGTGCTCTTCCTGGGCTTCTTAAGCCTTAATATACATAAGAATTACAGGAAATCTTGCTAAAATGCAGATTCTGATTCAGTAGGTCTGGAAGGGGTCTGAGGTTCTGCTTCGGGGTAAGTTTCCCTGTGATGCCCATGCTGGTGGGCTGGAGCTTTTGAGTAACAACAAGGCTAAACCAGAGGTAGCAAAGGGTTTCATCTCAAGAGTCATCTACAGCTAAGCGACTTTCTGCCACACTGTGCTAAAAAGAATTCTGAGGGTGCATCTCTGTAGTTTAGTTGTAAACAGCAGTCTGATCAATTAATAATGTCTGTTGTGGGTACAGAAATAGAAATAATGGCATACATTCTACGTGTTTGCCATCTTTTATCTCCCGTTTAACTCCTATTTGCTGTCAAGGTCATTTGTTAATGTGTACCCGCAAATGTGTACTAATAGGAAAAACATTGCATTCTTTTTTCTTTCTTTCTTTTTTTGGTATTAAAAGTACCTGTTACGAATTAATACTGTAGAATTTGATCAACATATGAGCATTCACTTTAACCCTGTGGGATTTATATAACTAAAGTCTGATCATTTCTCATCTTTCTTGCCAGAAAACGTGAATTTTTTTCAAGTGTATTTCCAAATTTCTTTCTCTGCCTCCTCATCCCTTCAATAATTTTATTTGCTCTTTCCTGGAACATTTTTATTTCCCTTTATAGCTTTCCTATAAGTCATCGTTTCTTTACTTAAAGCAAAATGTTTTATCAAAATAAGCAGATAAGAGCGTGTGGGGGGGGGGGGGGGGGGGGGGGGGGAGAAGCTACATTTCCCCTGCAGCAAAAAAGATAATTGCAAGATTCCTCCTTAAATAAGATCATCTCAAATTATTAAATAAACTATAAAGTTACTCTTTTCACACAGATTCTATGTTCACATGAAAAGTCATTTTAAATCAATATCTTTGGTGAGCATTGTTAGCTAAAGAAGTCATTAGTTCAGAGAATGGCAGACTACTTTGAAAACAACACACAATCCAGACTTTTTTAAGGTTACATTTTAAAATATATGCACTATGGACAGCCCACCATTTTAAATCTCAACTTTGACAACCCTTCTCTCCTTTTGTTCTGTCTGACTCTAAGCTTTCAAAATAGCCCACATGTCAGTGATGGGGAAATTTGAAACTTACTTTCAAAGCTCTCTGGACTACTGAATCATCCTGAGTTCGGACAGTTCCTTGGTTGTACGAAGAGCCAACCTCAGATCAGGATGGGCCAGCTGCATCCCTTTCTGATCCTGACATCAGTCTCTGGTGATTAGTTGAGTGTGAATGGGGCTTCAGAGCTGACCTGCAAGTGACCAGTCCCATCAACCCATCCTTCATTAGGGTTAAAGGCCCCTGGCTGCACCTGACCTCCCAAGAAGACAGTCCTGTGAAGATCCTGAAACATCCAAGTCCCAGCCTATCACAAAAATGCAGGGATGGGGGCGGGGTAGTCAACAGCCTCTTGGAGACTCCTGACTATAACAGATGAAGGGACATGTTGCAAATCTCTGGAATAATAAAAAAAGTGAGACATTCAGTTTATTTGGGAGTAAGATCACATTAGCTTATTTTCCAAAGCTCACTTTTCCTTAATTTTCTGTGATATGGTTGACAACTATAACACATAGCTCAGAGATGGCAATTTAGAAAGTCTGCTCACCTTGCCCCCAACGACTCCTAATCTGCCTTCTTCCAGCTGGGTCTCTGGGTCTGCATGCAGATCAATATGCACAATGGTGATTTCTGGAAGACTGTGGTTCTGCCACCTGAAGATTTTGGAGTGTAAGGAGTCTATGTGAAGGGGTGTGTGTGTGTGTGTGTGTGTGTGTGTGTGTGTGTGTTTATGAGCATTGAGGCAATGACCCTGACTAAATGCTATATAATAAACTATTGATTAATCAGTTATGGGGTGGCTCAATCATTAACTCAATGAATAAATTGTTGAGTGCCATCTATGTGCCAGGCAGTGGGCAATATGATAGGGAGAAAATACTAAGCTCTTGTCCTCTTCTCTCAAGGTTTCAAGAATCATGCAACTGCTGTTTCCAAGCCCGAGGCTTGCCCTTTTTCACAACTGAAAAATGGAGAACTCGCCATGTAGTCAGGGAAGCAAATAGAGAGATGAATGGCAAACAGTATAACTAATACTCTAACAGAAGCAGCACATAATATACAGTGATAAACAAGGCACAAAGGAGTGTCAGCTATTCATGGGATTAGCAGCTAATTGATTAAATTAACGTTTTGATTAATAAAAAACTGAAAAGGAATGGAGAGAAATCTTTCCTTTCCACCCTTAGTGTTGTAACTCTTTGAGGATGACCTAGCCTCAATAAACCATTGGCTAAATACTAATAAGAACAAATGTAATAGAAAAAAATTTAAAACTTAGACTGTGACTATTTTGCCTTCTGCAGGTGAGGGAAGATGTGTAAATAAATCACCATCAGTGGGAATATAAATCACATATCACTTCCTCCCACATTCAGGCACTTGGTAAATAGGCCCAGGGCATAGAGGTCAGGCACTTGGTAAATAGGCCAGTCGAAATTTCAAAGTCAGCCAGCTCTGGGCTGGTTTAGAGAGAGTCTCTGAGACCTTAGGTTATCTTAGAGATAACATTAAGGAGTATTTGGATATCAGAAGGCCAGCCCAGGGCATAGAGGTC